TATTGTTATCAGTTTAATCACTGTTACGCCCCTATCCGTTGATGTGGAGCAAGACGCAGCAGCAGAAGAGGACTCAGCCGAGGAGGTTATGGAAGAGGATGGAGTAGGAGGAGTAGAGGAGGTGGCAGCAGGACTGCCTGCAAGTCGTGGCGGTGTCACCAACTCCTCTGCAGAGCCATGCATTCCATGCTTGGCAGCAGTCAGCAGGTTTACCCAATGCGCAGTGTAGGTGATATACCTGCCCTGACCATGCTTTGCAGACCAGGTATCAGTGGTCAAATGGACCCTTGCCCCAACACTGTGTGCCAGAGAGATGCTATTACTTCCTTTTGCACAATTGAGTACAGGTTGGGGATTGCCTTTTGCGAAAAGTAATTTCGGCCGGTACCTTCCACTGCGGTGTCCCAATAGCTACAAATTTTTTGAACGCCTCAGACTCCACCAGCTTGTATGGTAAAAGCTGGCGGGCTAATAAGTTCGGACAAGCCAGCAGTCAGACGCTGGGCAAGGGGGTGACTTTCTGACATTGTCTTCTTACGCTCAAACATGTCCTTGACAGACACATGACTGTGGGAAGATGAGCGTGAACTGCTCAAGGCGGGAGGCGGAGTGGCGGATGGTTGAGAGGGGACAAGGAGGACAGCAGTGGTTGACGTGGCTGAAGATGCTGGACCAGGAGGAGGCTGGCGGCTTAGAGTAGGCGAGCTGCTTGTACTCATGTGTTGATCCCATAGGCGTTCTGTGATGTGAGATCATGTGCCTACGCAAAGCAGTTGTACCTAGGTGGGTGTTGGACTTCCCACGACTCAGTTTCTTTTGGCACAGGTTGCAAATGGCATCGCTGTTGTCAGAGGCAGACACACAAAAAAAATTCCACACTGCTGAGCTCTGCAATGACGGCATTCTGGTGGTGGACACAGCATGCGTTGATTGGCGTGCTGTCGGGCTGACCCCGGGTGTCGATGCATGCTGTCTGACTGTGCCACTAGCTCCTTGCGACGACCTCCCCTGCTTCCAACTCGTCTCCTCCTCCTCCCTGTCTCCCCATCTGAACTTTCGCCTGTTCTTCTTCTTGACGAGCGGGCACCCACGTGACATCCATGGACGCATCGTCATCATCAACCGCTTCACTTGTATCTGACAACTCAGCAAAGGAAGCAGCAGCGGGTACAACATCATCATCATCATCACACCATATGTCCATGTGTGTAATGCTGCCTGCCTGAGACATATCCCTGTTATCTACATCCTCTGGCAATAATGGTTGCGCATCACTCATTTCTTCAAACGGATGTGTGAATAACTCCTCTGACATACCAACCGAAGCGGCGGTGGTGCTAGTTTTGGTGGTGGCGGCAGGCGGGTGAGTGGTATCTTGAGAGGTGCCTGAAGCTAAGCTGGAGGAGGATGGTGCGTCAAGGTTCTGAGCGGAGGCTGTAGAAGATTGGGTGTCCTGTGTTAACCAGTCAACTATGTCCTCAGAACTTTTCAAGTTCAGGGTACGTGGCCTCTGAAAACTGGGCATTATTCTAGGGCCAAAGGGAATCACAGCACCACGACCACGATGGCCCCTGCGGGGTGGCCTACCTCTGCCTGTCATTTTTGTTGGGATTAGTGGTACTATGCGTGCAAGCTACTGTGAGACCAGATATGAGTGGCAATGTGCACTGGCACAGTTGTGCAGAGCAGAGGCTGTAGGCCTGACACCCGCTTGAAGATAACTAACTGCTATTCAATCTATAACAGTGAAAAAAGTGGGTTTTTTTTAAATCCAAGCTATTGTGACACCAGATATAAGTGGTGGCACTGGTCACCGTATCCACTGTTAGCGTAACACACCGCTTTAAGGACACTGACTGCTATTCAATCTATAACAGTGAAAAAAGTTTTTTGTTTTTAAATCCAAGCTATTGTGACACCAGATGTAAGTGGTGGCACTGGTCACCGTATCCACTGTTAGCGTAACACACCCGCTTTAAGGACACTGACTGCTATTCAATCTATAACAGTGAAAAAAGTGTTTTTTGTTTTTAAATACAAGCTTTGTGTCACCAGATCTAAGTGGTGGCACTGGTCACGTATCCACTGTTAGCGTAACACACCCGCTTTAAGGACACTGACTGCTATTCAATCTATAACAGTGAAAAAAGATTATTTTTTTTTTAAATCCAGCTATTGTGACACCAGATCTAATTAGTGGCACTTGTCAGCGTATCCACTGTTAGCGTAACACACCCGCTTTAAGGACACTGACTGCTATTCAATCTATAACAGTGAAAAAAGATTATTTTTTTTTTAAATCCAAACTTTTGTGTCACCAGATCTAATTAGTGGCACTTGTCAGCGTATCCACTGTTAGCGTAACACACCCGCTTTAAGGACACTGACTGCTATTCAATCTATAACAGTGAAAAAAGATTATTTTTTTTTTAAATCCAAACTATTGTGACACCAGATCTAATTAGTGGCACTGGTCAGCGTATCCACTGTTGGCGTAACACACCCGCTTTAAGGACACTGACTGCTATTCAATCTATAACAGTGAAAAAAAGTGTTTTTTGTTTTTAAATCCAAGCTTTGTGTCACCAGATCTAAGTGGTGGCAATGGTCACCGTATCCACTGTTAGCGTAACACACCCGCTTTAAGGACACTGACTGCTATTCAATCTATAACAGTGAAAAAAGTGTTTTTTGTTTTTAAATCAAGCTTTGTGTCACCAGATCTAAGTGGTGGCAATGGTCACCGTATCCACTGTTAGCGTAACACACCCGCTTTAAGGACACTGACTGCTATTCAATCTATAACAGTGAAAAAATATTATTATTTTTTTAAATCCAAACTGTTGTGACACCAGATCTAATTAGTGGCACTGGTCAGCGTATCCACTGTTAGCGTAACACACCCGCTTTAAGGACACTGACTGCTATTCAATCTATAACAGTGAAAAAAGTGTTTTGTTTTTTTAAATCCAAGCTTTGTGTCACCAGATCTAATTGGTGGCACTGGTCACCGTATCCACTGTTAGCGTAACACACCCGCTTTAAGGACACTGACTGCTATTCAATCTATAACAGTAAAAAAAGTTTTTTGTTTTTAAATCCAAGCTATTGTGACACCAGATGTAATTGGTGGCACTGACTGGGGAAATGGGCACAGTATGCACTGTGAGCCTGACACAGAAGCTGGCAGCAGTGGCAGACAACTGACTGCTATTCAATCTATAACAGTGAAAAAAGTTTTTTGTTTTTAAATCCAAGCTATTGTGACACCAGATGTAATTGGTGGCACTGACTGGGGAAATGGGCACTGTGAGCCTGACACAGAAGCTGGCAGCAGTGGCAGACAACTAAGTGCATTTACATTACATAGAAAAAAAAAATCCAAAAAAAGCATACCCTTATCCCTAACCTAGCTATGCTTTTCCCTATCTTATGAACAGCAGCTACACTTTCCCTCCTCTTACTAAGCATGCAGCTTGAGAATGAATCTAAAATGGATGCTGTCCAGTAGGTGGGAGGGTCTGCTAGGGAGGCTGTGCTGCTAATTGGCTGGAATGTGTCTGCTGACTGTGAGGTACAGGGTCAAAGTTTACTCAATGATGACGAATAGGGGGCGGGTCGAACCGCGCATATGTTCGCCCGCCGTGGCGAACGCGAACATGCTATGTTCGCCAGGAACCGTTCGCCGGCGAACCGTTCGGTACATCACTATTGAGGGGGTGTGGGTTTGGAGCGTGTGCTCCCGCTTAGTGTGTCGGGTTAGCCTCTCATGCAGCTATGTGTTGGTGTGGGATTTGCTTTTCCTGGATGGATGACTCCCAGGGTGGTGGGATTTTTCTACGCTTAGGGCTCTCTGTGATATTGGGGAGCGCCCTCCTGTTATTCTCGTGTGATGTGTAGTTGCCAGCTGGTTAACGTATAGGTGAGATAGCAGTTAAGGAAAACAGTGGGATTAAGCATAGCTTTTTCATATGAGATATTCCGTATAGGGAACCAGAGAGAAAAATGATAGTAAAATAAAAAAATTAAATAAAAAATGCAGATTAACATATAAGGTTGGTCATCTGCTCTTTGTCGAAGTTCAGGTTATTGGGGTCAGTCTATCACCATTCCTTGGCACAAATGGAGTTATGTGGTCTGGGTCCCAGTCCTGTTGTCTGCAGGAAGCAGGCAGATTAGTTTGTGCTTTGGAATGTCCAGGGCTTTGAACAATGCAGGGGCCTCTGCTGGCGAGGATAGCTGGTATGTCGCTCCATTCTTCTCCACACATAGGAATCTCGGTGTCGACCATCTGTAAGAGATCCCTGCGGCGCGTAGTTGGCCGGTTACGGGGCTCATGGAACGTCTCCATTGAAGGGTGGACCAGTGCAGGTCCTGGTAGAAGGAGAGTGCAGATGATTCGAAGGTATAGGATGTTTTCACCCTTAATGCCGCCCAGATGCGGCCTTTATAAAGAAGCGTTTGACACCTGGCTATCACGTCTCATGGAGCCATTGCAGGAGCTTTTGGAGATTTGGTGATACGAAAGCAGCCATCAAAGACTATCTTCTTGGCTTGTGTTGCCGGTATCAGCAAGTCCACCAGGGGTCGCAGATAGTGCGGCAGCTCGTCAGGTAGGACTGCATCTGGGATGCCTCTTATTTTTATATTGGCTCTGCGGCTGCGGTCATCAAGAGTGTCAGCTCTCAGGGATAAGGAGGTTTGGGTTTTCTGCATTTGTTGCATTGCTTCTTTGATAGTGGAGACTTCTTGGCGCAGGTCAATTATAGCCTCTTCTGAGGCCTGGGTTCTGGCTGTCACCACTTGCACTTCTACCTTCACCAGGTCGAGATCTGCTGCAAGCAACTGCTTCATGTTCTGCAGCAGGTTTGCTATGTCTTGTTCTGTGGAGGGTGTATTAGGGTCCTCTTCAGGAGTTCCTGCGGGTGCTTGTGGCCGTTCTAGGGATACAGGGTTCAGCTCCTCTGCTGTTTATCTGGGCGGTGGTGTGCAGGCCTCACCTTCCGCTTGGGTGGCCATTTTGGAAGGCCCTGGCCGCTGGAACATTATGCCGATATCTCGGGTGTCGTTTGCTCCCCCCGGGGGTTGTTTTTGGGATCGGCGACCCATGTTGTGTGTGGTCTGGTCCTGGGTCGGTCTTCCAGTCGAGTAATAAAACAGGTCCTCCAGTGATAATGGCAGCGTGGAGGTTGCGGGCTGTTGACAGGCGTGAAAGGCCTTTATCCGTCGGCGTGGTGACTTGCCTGCCAGAGGGCACAGAAAAGGCATCTGCCGGCTCCACACCATGCTGGGGAGCAGTATCAGCGGAGATGGTATCAAGGTATTGCGTTTTGCCTAGTAATTTTAGTTGATTTTGTATAGTTAGAGCCGGAGCTCTAGATAATGCATAATGTTTTTTCAAAAAAAAATGTAATCCCATTTTTAATCTATTTTAAAAAATTTCTATTTTTCTTTACATTTTTTGAGTATATATTTTTAGTAGTTAGTCTTTTACATTATATCAATCTTGTCTCATTGTACCTACCGTGAACTCCAATAGGGATTATCATTGTGTATTTATGTTGTCTAATTTTCTTGTTTGCTCTAATTGAGAATTCCTAAAGTGGATGTTGAATTTTCTCACTATCACCTTTTTTATTTTTTAAACAAAAAGGGGACCACTTGTACAAGCACAGGGTAGTTATCGTCAAAGGTGTGTCTTCCATATACAGTATAATAAATCTGTTTCCTCGTATATATGCTGGTTTTATAAACTTCTATTTAATTTTTTTTAGGTATTTATTTCGATTTAATCTGGGTTCTAACTAATTAATATGAATTAAAGATTGGTATGTTTTAAACTAACTTGAGAACTTCAATGGTTTTACATGAAATGTATCTTCATTAAATGTATTGATATACAATATGCTTAGGTAATTGAGGGGTTAACATATGGTCTGATACAGAATGAACCCAATATTGAGCATGCAAATGAAGGATTTGAGACTGATCCAATCTCAAAGAGACTCGGCACAAGCTGCCCTTATATACCCATATCAAAGATGGAGCAAACTATGATTCACGTCCTGATGAAGCCGCCGGCGAAACGCGTAGACGTGCGCCACATTTGTACCAGAAGGACAGTGGAGATACACAAGAGCGAGCTGCATTTTATAATGAGGGAATCGCACAACGCAAATGCCCTGAATCAATTCTGATTGATCGGAGACATGAGCCTTTGTAAGTAGCAGTATCAGCCGCATATGCTCACCAGCGATCCCTAGTAAGGGGCAATATTACTCACTTCCTCTGTCACACTTTTTTTAATCCTTTTTTTTTTTTAAATACTTTTTTAAGATAGATATCTGTATGAGCAAAATAACTCTAGGTGCCATATATCTTGCATGTCTATAGTGCAATAGTATTATATGTGCAATATGGGTTTAAGTGCAATATACTGATATTCAATTGTTTTAATCCTGTTTATGGAATACATTTGTTGAATTACTTCATCATATTTTTTAAATTGTTTCACCATTTTTGTAATAGAGTGGTATATTAATCTATAGCAGAATTACACTATTTGTTTTTTCCACACTATTCCTTTTCTTACATGTTGATAAGATCATCCTGACCATCTATGACAGTCATCTATAAAAGGATTTTTGCGCTATATTTTCATAATAATAGTATTTCATAACTTCAAAATATTGCACTTAGATGTTTAATTTATGTTAAAATGTTATGTGAAAATAATTAAAAATTTACTTAAATTGCATAAACCAGGTTTAAATTGCAAAAAAACAGGAAAAGTATCTGTACCCCATTGAAAAAGCCAAAGGACTGTCAAAATCTGTCAGGTGATTTTATTTTCATCCTGATCTTGAAATTACTCTTCTGAATCCAGAAGGCAGGAGTACGCAAGCTTCAGCACTCCAGATGTTGTGGATTTCATCTCCCATAATGCTCTTGAAGCCATAATGCTGGCAAAGCATCAGGTGATATGTAGTCCACAACATGTGGAGTGCCTAAGGTTGCCTACCTAAGACAACAGAAAGGTGACATCCAACAACTGTTACCGTTGTGAAGCAGGAGGAACATTGAATATTGTGGGATTCATATAGAGAGCCACTCAGGCCAATATGAACTGGTAAACATAACTAAAATGTGTCTAAAAGGTGCCAATGGACTCCACGCACAATAATAGTTTATTGTGTTTAACCGCTTAAGGACCAAACTTCTGGAATAAAAGGGAATCATGACATGTCACACATGTCATGTGTCCTTAAGGGGTTAAGGTGTTCCTTTTTACTCCTTTCTGGATGCCAAGACACATATCAGGGTTTCAAATGTAACCCCATCCTATGGTGCAGCCTTGCTCCTGCACCTTTTTAGCTTTTTAGCCTTGCTTGGGAAATTTTTTCCAAGTTGGGCAATCCTCCATTATGAAGCAGACGTGCTGGTTTAATTCCCAGCACATCAGCAACAGAATTGAATGACACATTTCAATCAGTTTTCACACTCGCCCAGCAAGAGGAATAGCTGTGATGCAGAGGAGCAAAACTTCCGTAGGGTTGTCATCCACTTCTCAGTAGACAGTTCTTTACTGTTGCGTTCACTTTTACGTACAGTTTTTTATTAACATGTATACATTTACTAGCATTTCTGCTAGTACAAGGAATAGATTTTTTTTTTTTTAATTCTGTTATCACTGTTTGACCGTGACAGATGAGAAGGCGGAGCCTGGAGTTGTGGGAGGGGTTGCAACCGGCCTATATAATCCCACTACTTACCTCCATACCTTGCTGACAGTGCTTGGTTACTTCCTGTTGCTTGAGGTCAGCATCAGAATAATTTCCAGTTCCGGGTCATCCAGACGCCATTTTACCTGCTTACTCCATGAGGTTTTCTAAGCTGAACTGTATCTGGAATCCAGCCACAGGCTTTTCTGGCCTACCAGCTTTTTCTTCAATCCATCGCCGTGGATGGTGTCCAAGTGGCTCACAAACCGTAAGTCGACCTACCTGTTATGCCAGGCATCAGTCCCATGGCACCATGTATGGATTAGGTCCTCACTTTATGACTGCATTTTGTCTAAATCTGTCCTAAAACCATTGCATGTTCATGCATATCATTCGTTTAAATTCACTTGTTTATATCTGTCACTGGCTCATTTTGAGCTTTAGCATACTCCCAAACGGGAACACATTCTGTTTCAATTACCTAAACATACTAGGCAATTCTGTGCGTGCATTTCAAATCTCACTGCTCGTTTCGTTTGGTTTCCCTGACGTACCAGGCTCACGGTTCGGGAAATTTTCTACCAAAAGGGAACTAGTTCATACATTTACTACTGTACTACACACACGTTTCGTGCGTTTACAACCCACTAACGGAACTTTGGTTTGTTACAATGACTGTTATTAAGCTATTAAAGTTCACTTATTATATATTGTCAAACGGGCACTGTTTGTTTCCCTGTCATACAACTATAATGCTGGGGCATAGCTCACGAACAATGTTTCACGTAAACCACACTGACCCCTACAGGTCACTCTCAAAATCTCACGTTAACCTTGCATTTGGATTAACCCCTTAGGGACCAAACTCTGGAATACAAGGGAATCATGTATCCTTAAGGGGTTAAAGGGTATTTTACCATACAATCAGCATTTCTGACCCCTACTGGTCAACATCAAAACTGTCTTCACATGTCATATACAATTACTAGCCAATATCAATTACACATAAGATTGTTTTAAACATAACCATAAATTAAACTCCAGCACTGGCTCAACATTTTGTCTTTCACATCAAGAATAACAGTGGTTCTATCAACACTGCCACCTACAGGTCTGTCAAGTACATTGACAATTTTCATGGGGTTTTACAAACACCAAAAACACTGACCCCTATAGGTCAACAGACAAACAACATTTCACATACCAATCAGCATCAACTACACTACCACCTATAGGGCACTCGGCAGTTCTCCAGTACACTTGCATTTTGCAACACCATGTTCACTGACCCCTACTATTCAATAAGGCATACAACAATTCACAGAGCAAGTAGTATAAATACACATATTATTACAAAGTAGCACACGCATCTGTATATACGTAACTGGTAATATAGTTCACATACATTTTTCATAGCACGCTGCTCACACAACAGACTTTCCCCTAGCAATGGGACATACAACATCCAAGGTGGGAACAGACCACTTTTCACTTGTACATACGGCACTTAATGGGTTAAGATTGATACATATTTAACCAGTATGGCTATGATGATTAATATTTACATGTCACGGCACTTTACTTTTCACATATACTGTATGTTTTAAGATAAGCTTGGTCTATGCCATATTTCCTTATGCCATACGATTTTATCCATTCAGGTTACAGTTACTACTAAAAAACCTATACGGATTGTCAGGTTCAATACCATACTACCAGGTACGTACACCTGCTCACGTAGTTATCCATCTCTTACCTTCCCTGGAATAGTAATAGTGTACTGGCAATTAGGGTTCTAGGGCCCAATAGGTATTACCCCCTTTTTTCTCTGCTTTATGCTTCGGTTAGTGGTCCCGCGAGGCCAACACCCCGCCTCACACACGGAGGCATACATCCCTCGGGCCACTCGTGAACTAGCCGCCTCGCATTGTATCATAGAGAGGGCCTCACCTGTCACTCCCCTTCCTATTTTTCTGGTTACTGTCACCGAGAGGCCAACATCCTGCCACAACATTCGGTGGCCACAAAAAATCCCCTCGCGCCAAGCATAGATAGAGCCTCTCAAGCCACTTGGCAACTAGCAGGGCCTCACCAGTCACCAAAAAAAAACACCAAGCCTAATCGTTTCGCCTTACGGCTTAGCTAGCAAGCCGGTACAAGAGCCCTGGGTACAAATATATAATTGCAATCTTTATTGTTATTAAGTATTTCCCAAAAAGATGGTAAAGAATCTCCTCTTCCTAGCACCCCGGCTAGAAGTGATACACTTTCATCTCTTACCTTCCCTGGAATAGTAGTTATGTAATGGCAATTAGGGTTTTATGGCCCAATAGGTATTACCCCCTGTTTTCTCTGCTTTACGCTTCATTTAGTGGTCCCACGAGGCCAACACCCCGCCTCACACTCTGAGGCATACACCCCTCGGGCCACTCGTGAGCTAGCCGTCTCGCATTGTATCATAGAGAGGGCGTCACCTGTCACTCCCCTTCCCCTTGA